TGGGAATCAAAACAGTGCTTTGTATTTGAAAATTCGTTGATTTTCCTTCCAATCAAAATTATAACTTCTATGTTACAATCAGTCCAAAAGGTTCAAATGCAATTGAAAGGAATTAAGGTAGAAAAAGAGAACTATCTTACTTTATAGCAAGAAACAAGCAGCTGGATTTACAAGAGGCATATGAGCATAGCAGATTTAGACATGGCAATGGATTTAGGGATTTTATTTTATATGCAGATTTTATAGTTTCAAATAGCTAAATCAATTTATGAACATGTAACCATCCAAAATACCAACAAAAATGCTGAAAATTCCATTCTAAAATATACAAAATCAATCAGAGTTTTAACCACCAAATCAAATCATTTACATATATACACTCTATATTCTTCAATTGATCAGAAATGTCTGATTTCAAAAACTAGAAAAATTTTAAGGAAAAAAAAAAAAAGCTGAACCTTAAGCCATAGACATGTTAGAAAGCCTGCTTGGTGTTGGCCTGAAGTTCCACCACCTAAGTGTCATCTTCCTATTTGGTGGTGTTAATGCCCTCCTCAATATCTCTTTATTTGCACTATATCTCCTCATGTTCTGCCTAGGCACCATGTAACCATGCCTGCTACATGGTGCTGAACCTGGATGGTTTAAACAAGTACACCTTGGACGTGGTCTAGAAGAAGAAGAAGAAGATGATGATGATGATGCCATGTAACTTTTTCTACGACTCTGATTCTCCTCCGCCGCATCACCCGCCATAGACGCCGTTGCCGGAATTTCTAAACCTTCTGTAGTTTGTTTCTCAAGGATGGTCAATTGCATATTTTGGAGTAAGTGATTTGAGTATATAATTGGTAAGATGAATTGGTCATACCTAGCTCATTTTGATTTGCTAAGCTTATATAGATGCCATCTTTTTTCTTTTTTGACTTGGTATTTCTTGGAAGGCTGTTTCTTTGATTCTCAGAAATGGGATTTGGAGACTTTGACCAAATTTTGAGACTTAGTGGCCATGGCTGTAATGTTTTGACCACTAATCTTTAATTTTTACCATAGCTTTTCTTTCATGGATACTCGGTTTGATGATATGCTTGAAAGATTTTTTTTTTTTTTTTAACAATGTGATTTTTGAGCCACAAATGCATATTTGGTTGGAAACTATCAAATTCACCAATAAAATCGACGTGTATTTGATTAGATTTCAGAATTCCTCAAGGAAAAAGTTGATACACCCTTAGCTTTTTCCCTTTCAGTGAGGTGGACCACTAATCCAAATCCAACCCCACTGTTGAATTTTGACTTCCACAGCATGGTATATTTGTAGTCTTGTAAAGATTTTATTTTCGAGAGTTTATTTTTTTTGGTTAAAATTTTATCTAATGAAAGTGTTTTTTTTTTTTTTGTTTTCAAGTTGATAAATATTGAATTGTCAATTTTAAAATTCAAATTAAATCTAATAATTAAAATATGATACAATAAAATGATATAAATATGATACAAATATAAAATGTGAAAATAACATGATTTAAAATATTAATGATAATTATATCTAAATTTAATAAAATTAAAAAAAAAAAATTTTTATTTTTATGTCGATATAAATTATAATATATAATTTTAATATAAAATAAAATAAAAAAATATAAATTTTAATATTTTATAAAATATAAATACGTAAATCATCGAATCTAATTCAAATTGAGTTATATTATTAAAAAAATAATTTTTTTCATAAAATCTTACATAATGATAAATTTATTCTAACATCTTCTTCAAAGGGTCAAAATTTTTATCTTCAATTTTTTTAGTGCTTTTTCTTTGTAATGGCTAAAAGCATCTAATCATCAAGCATTGAAACTAAGCCAACTCATTTCTCAAGGAAAATAACATATTAAATGTTGATAAGCTCTCTTTAGGAAAATAAATCTATTATATTCTATGGATTTAATGGGTATTACTTTTGAGTTGTCTCATTTTTCATCAACGAAAGGCAACAAAGATCCATCCCACATCTTAACCTGTCTACCCTGTTTTAATATTTTTAGAAAAAAAATTTTTGGAATTGTTTTAAGCTTTAATTTTGATTATTTTCATCAATGAGCTGGGTCTTTGTGGACATGGCCACAAGTCTATCCCAACCACATAAACCAAAACCCATCGCCAGCTTGTTGCAGCTGTCATGCAAATCCTAACTTTTTTTTTTTTTGTTCTCTTTAATTTCCAATTCCAACTGTTGATTCTACCATTGTTTTCTTTTTAGTATTTGATATTCCAAATCCTGAAATTCTTTGGACCCAAGAAAATTACCTTTCATTATGATTTTTCAAGTATTTTAACATTTTATTTTATGTACAAATTAATGTACACGTCAATAATATTTGACACGATGGAAGATGATATAGACATGGCACATCATAAATTTAATATTTTCTAATCCATATTTGCCACGTGGCACTTCAAGTGTTTTTGAGATGTACATTTTTTTTAATTTTTTTAATATTTAGGGGATGGATAAATGGTATTCAGGGGTAAAATTTTTATGGTTTTGAAAAGTCATGATAAAAATTAAAAGAACAATTATACAGCATTGACTTATGAATTTTACCTTCAAAATGCAAACACCATAGAAAAAAATATAGGGTAGGGAAGCCGTAAAAGCTCCTGTTTTGAATTTTAAAGGATTTAAAGAAAATTTAATATTCATTTTTTTCTGAAAAGTACGGAATATTCATTGAATGATTAAATTTGCTTTGCATTTGCATATTGTACAGCTAGATCCTGCTTGTGACAAGTGATTAATTATTTTGCTTAATCTGCAATAATTGGCTTGCTAATTGGCACTGATCCTAGAGCAATCATGGGCCATAAACAGCCTGGGCTTTGAATTATTATTCAGATTCTCCATGGTCCATGGGTGCCTTTTGTGCTTGGAACAGCTCAGAAATCTAGCGTCAATTTGTCGACCAGTGAATGATTATGGTGTTAATGCTGCTTGACTGCTTTTCCAGTTCAATAATGAATTATGGGCTTAAGACTTGTAAAGAATTTAAGTTGGTTAGTGTGATACTGCCTCATCAATGAAAACCCTACTCTTTTTGGTAGGTTCATTAATGAAAGAAAATGAAAACCTCCCCATTTCAAAACCCCTTTTTGTTAAAAGATTTATCTTTTCTCTAGATAGAGATCATGGGTAATGTTTCTTCGTAAAAAGTGTCTTACATTATTAACATTCATGATTCAACAACCATCCATATCTTTTGCAATGACAAAACCTTATGGGTAAATCTCAGTTAAGCCAACAAGTTTGCAGTAGAAAATCTAACCTAATATTATAGGTTCACACACATTTTGCTAAGTTAATCTCTTATTAAATTTCAAGTCAAATTCTGATGAATTCATTTTTTTTTTTTTTTACCTACGTGTACGTAAACAAGTGCGTATATCACAAGTATTCATCTATTCATTGTATTTTTTTGTATGTATATACGTAAGTATTGACATATGTGGACAAGAACCAACTAACAAGTTTCTTTAAGCATGCGAAAAGAAATGATTATGGTAGAATAATCTCATATTTGTAGAGATTGGTAGGCATTAATTGTGTGATAGCATCATCCACAAATTAAGATGATAAAGCATTTCATCAGTTTTCAATATCTATTCCAAAATTAATCACTAATTGATACGAAATTTTATAAAGAGTTTTTGTATGTTTTCCTTGAAAAGTAATGTAATTAAAGGGCATTTAATTTGTGTGGTTTTAAGATAATGATTCCTTCTGATGATAGTGAAATGGTCCCATAGTCTCAAAGAGAAAACCCATTTATTTTGTGAGGTAGCCTCTTGTTGTCAATTTGTGTAACCTCTAGGTCATGGAATATACTTCTCTATGTCTTATCAAACCAATGAAAAAGAAAATGACATCCACACTCAAATATCTTAGACACAGTTTTTTTTTTTTAGATATTAAATCAAGAAAAGAAAAAGTCAAGGGAGAGATGTATCTCTTATCAATTGGTTAATGCTTTGAAGCTTTTATTTTCAAGTTACTCTCAAGCTCTCAAAACTTAGGGGCTAAGTTATTATCTCTTGGTCCTATTTTTTTTTCTTAAAGCGGTCAAGATTTAAATTTTATTTATTAAAATTAAAATTTTAAATTTTATTAATAAATTATATAATTGTTAGTCAATCTAATTTTTACTTTGTTTGAAAAAGAAAAGAAAAACAAAATAAAGAATCATTTATTTCTTTATTCAAATATTTTAAAATTGTTTACTTTCATTATCAAGGAGATCAACCATCTTTGTCAAGTGAAAAAAAGAAAAAGAAGAAAAGGAACCAAAGCTTGAAAACTGAAAAATATAATATTTTATAAAAAAAAAATCTTTATACAAAATTATATTAATATGTTGTGTACAAATATCCTTTTTATTGCATTGCAGACAAAACTTATAAAACTGTGGCTGATTTATTGTAGCAATTTTTTTTAATATACAACAATTAATTAATATATGTAAATTCATAAAATAATACAATAAATAAAAAAATTATAAATAGTAATATGGCCCCATATACTTCAGCTCTTATCAACCAATTATTGGGTTTTCATAGCTATTAATGTTAATGATGATTGTTCTGTTATGTTATTAGTCAATAATATTATTTTTTATTGAGATTCATCAAAGAAATTGAATGAGAAAACACATAAACTTATAAAATTTAATAAGATATTTTTTCTAAACTATATATTTTCACCTAAATCACATTGCATGATCCTGATTGGATACAAAGCTTGATTCTTCAAAAATCTAGCTGGAAAGAAAAAAAAAATGACTGAAAAAAAAAAGAATTTAAAAATTTTTACCCTCTAGAGTTATAGAGAGGAACCATAAAAAGGAATTATGCCTTTAAACGCAAAGCATGATTGAGTGATGAAAAAAGAAATTCCATACTGGCAAAATATATCTGAGTAGATGATCAAAGATGAAACAGATGCTTTGATGTAAACAAAACCAACCAATATATATTCTTAAAATGTGCATCATCATCAACATTACTAAAGTTCTACAACAAGGATTTCTATACAAGGTTTCAATGTTGTATTTCTAAAGCAAAATATTTTATCATCAGCCCATCAGTTTTATTTTTTTCCTACATTAAGTTTCCACCTCTCTCTCATTTCCCCCTTTTCTTTTTTCTTTGCATCTCTACATAATAAACAGCAAACTATATGTATACAATATATATATATATAGTACTATATATTATAAAATTTTACCTATATGATCTATGGCCTCAAGAGATGAAATTTTGGCAGCTATTTATTACACTCAGAGAAATATTTGAGGCCTGGTTCATCTAAAGAAGTCTTTTCCAATTATCTCTTCCCTAACAACCAAAATCTCAATATTTATCCCAATCCAAATGCGTCATCACTCTTGGCGACTGTATCAACAAGTATATGTAACATGACACTGACAGCTTCCAAGCTACTTGAAAATTTTGATTTTTAACTTTTTTTTCAAGGCATAGATGGTTTATCTATGGAATACCCACTACCTGGAATTGAATTAAGAGTACCAGTTCAGTCCTGGAAGTTGATATGGAGGCCGAAAAATCCCATCTCCCATTGACCCCAGAACTGTTTGTTGTTGCAATGGAGTTTGTGGAAGCTGGCTAAATAGAGTGGCAATTGAACCATTCCCATCTGTTTTTTCCATGCTTCCATTATTGCTATCCCCTTGAAATCTCTTTCTTGTTGAAGGACTGGCTGTGTCCTCATCGGTCCAGTAAAGCGATGGTAGAGTCCTTTTGAGAGGATTAACCATAGAAAGGTCTGGCTTTGAGTTTGAACATCCTAACTGAGACATAGATCCATTGTTAATCCCATCATTCCCCATCATTCCTTCGAACAGGCTATGCTCTTGACTTTCAAGCAATGTGCCAAAACTTGTGCCCTTCGTTGGGAATTGAAATTTTGCATTATGTTGGCTACCAATTGATATGGACGATGGTACTGGACCAATCATGTCATCCATGGAGTCATCTTTATCATGATCCATAGGTCTATGCGTGTTGTTTTTCTTGTAGATTCGACATAGCACCCAATCATCAAGCTATAAACCAAAAGCAACAAACAAGAAAGAACTCATTAGTAAAAAAAGGAAATCAGTTTTCAAACAATCAATTCCCGATATATAACCATAAACTGAATAAACCTGACAAAAATGGATACCCTTAGTGAGTTTTTCTTGTGGCCCAAGTCACATCCAAGGGGTTTGTTGTTAGTCTTATTATCAGCAAGCCTATATTCATGCATGATCCAATTGGTTTTGATCCCTTTAGGGGGCTTCCCTCCATAGAAAACCAGTGCCTTCTTCACTCCAACCTTTTGAGTCCCTCCTGAGGTCAAGACCGGCTTATCAGTTCCGGTAGCCTTCCAGTAACCTGAAGTAGCCGCCCTGTTAGGCCTCGCACCATTCGGATACTTCCTGTCTCTCGGACTAAAAAAGTACCATTCTTGCTCACCAAACGTGGCCTTAGCTGAAATCCCCAAACCAATTCAAAGATTATTTATCATAGTCATATACACATATGTGACACTTAAATTTACTTGCACTTTTCACTTTCTTTTTCTCTTTTCCTGTATACCCTTTTTGAATAAATTTTGCAGACAAAAGATATATGCGGTATAAACCTTTTACCTGGTAATTCCCATGGATCAAACTTATACAAATCAACTTCTGCAATTATCGCAACCGGCAAAGGAGCTGAGCTTGCCTTTTTCTTGAGATAGTGCACTACTAGTTCTTCATCCGTGGGGTGGAACCTGAATCCTGGTGGGAGGTTGGGCTGCTGTGAGCCAGTCGATGAGTCGGTGCTTTCCATTGCTGCTCCTTTTAAATATTAATTCAGTGATGAAATTGAGAGTTTTTTACTTTGAATTTCTGAAAGTTTATCAGAGAAGAAGAACATCATAGAAATTTGCTTTTGAGAGTCTGCTCAAAAAATGTTGGATAGAGTTGGCATGAACATTGTTTTAAATGGGCATAGAACAAGACCATGAATGGTGGGCATGATTTAATACAACAAAGTTGGCATCTGTTACTATTTAATCCACCCAATCTCGACATGCCACGTGACGGTTTCAAGGGCAGTTTAGTCATTTCACATATTGCTAAACCTACTTAATTAGCTGAATCCATGCACAGGCAGGTTGACAAAAGACATGCAGTGGTTAGCAAGTAGATATATGTGAGAGGGAGAGCCCGGAGAGGGTGATGATGATGACGTGAACTGAGGGCCTCGATCCGTTGATCGTTTGACACGTGTAATACCTAAATATGTAAGGGATTGACACGTGGGGGAGGAGTGGCAGTGGGGACCACAACCCACACAAGGCAACAAAAAGATAATATGGACGGATAAGTGTGGGGTGGGAACAAGCTTTACGCCTCAGATGTCATGCTTTTGTTATGCAAAATCCCACCACCAAAAAGCCAATTTGGTGACCATAGGCCATCGCTTCCACACCACTAAAACAAAACAGAAGGTCATGGCTTGCCTCGTAATTGGCTGTCCTCTTTGAGGTACTTGTTATTCTTCAATTTTTGATCAATTTTTTGTGGCAAAGTTCGACCTTCTTTTTTTTTACTTAAAAAAATTTACGTGTGAGGCTTATATTAAATTTAAAAATTATCTATCAAAAAAATATTGTTGATAGCATAAAATGGAATTTATATCTTACTAAATTCTTTTTTAATTTTTATCAACTCAATTAATTTCGATATAATGAAATATTTAATTATTTTTACATCTACATGATTGAGATTCAAGAACTAGATTCATTATATTTTTCACATTACTAACTCCTCGTATGTTTATCTATCTAATAGAATTGGATAGATAAAACTCATCTCTCTAATTATATTTATCTATCTAATTGATTATATTTATTTATATAATTGAATTGGATGTGTACGATGTCAATTAAATGAATATATAATGATAAAACTCATCTAATGACTCATCTCATTGTATGATTACGAAAGACCAGATCACATAAGTTCATTGTATTACATCAATTTAAATGTTGTATAACTTTTGATAATAAGTAATTTTTAACTAGTAATTCATTTGATGTAGTAAATGAGCGAAGCTTTTGAATATAAGGGATGTTTGTAAGTAATTGGCTTTTTCTTAGTTTTGGATTCAAAATTTTAAATAATCTCATATGTAATTTAAAGCCCTAATTTTTCCCAAGACATGGTTCCATGGCCATAATATTCAAGGAACAAAATCCCTTCTTACTTCTTTCCTCTAGAAGAATAATGGAGGGGAGCTAATCAAACATGGGTGAGGCTCCATTTCTGATACACTGGAGATGAAATCATGGGAGAGGCTCAAGTCTCTTTGACCACTAATAAAAATCTTTTCTGATTATAAATCTTGTGATTTGTCGATAAAATATTAAATTTTTAGTTTAGGAATCAAAATTTAATTTGTACTCATTAGTGAAAGCTAGTAGAGAATCAAAGGTTTATTTCACTATTTTTTTCAATGGCCAAAAGCTAGATTTTTTCTCTCCAAAACCGTTGGGCACGGCCAAAATCTTAAAGAAGGGGTTAGGAACTATGGCTAGGTGGGGTCGAAATGCTGGTTTCATGATAGACCAAAGGGCCCCCATCAAGTGTCAGTTCGTGTAGTCCATTTCTTATCATCGGGAGAAAAAACCCCACATTAATCACCACAATCACAATCTCAACATCTCATACCTCATCTTCACATTAAGGGCTATTTAGAAACTATGGGGAGAGAGAAAGGGGAAAATCATTCTAATGGCATCTATGGCTCACCTAACGTCTTTGATTTTCTACCTCATCTTTAATTAATTCACAACAAGAAGATTAGACATTGATGTGGAATAAGTGAATTAAAATGGGTCCCCTCCTTTGGTTTTTTTTTTTTTTTTTATGTTTCTTTTTGAGAAAAAGAGGAAAAGGGAATTAAAAAAGAGAGGATATATAGTACTAAAAATTGTTTTAAATGATTAATGTTGATTATAAAAGCTTTTTTAATATTTTATATTTTCCATACCATGTTTAAGCATTTTCTTCAAAAGTTGAAGGAGATGTGTGTGTCAAATTAATATCAAATTATTTTTTATTGATATAAAATACACTTACCAACTTTACAAGCTAATTTTAATGATTAGTCAATAATTATGTGATCTGTTGATAAAATATAAAAATTTTAATTTTTAATAATTTTAAATATATAAAAGAAACTCATTTGATAAATTTCACTTATTTCTCTAATCTCAAAATTGAATTCTTAATGTTTTGGTAATTTTTCATTATTTAAACTAATTTTTAACCCTGTTATTATCATACATTTAGGTTGATTTTATTGCGGGAGAGTGAACACCAATGCTTAAACCTATGATTTATATGTACTCATATATCCTTATCTCACCATATATATTACTTATTTATTATGAGCAAGTACTCTAGAGATGGATCCAAATTTTATTTTAATCTTTTTAAAGAAAGTTAACAATGGATTGAGAGTGCAACCACTCAACTAAGTAAGGGAAATTTTTGCACCACGAAAAAAAAAATATATATATATATATATATATATATTATCCCCAGCTGGTTTTTGAAAAGGAATATGATGCAGTAAATGGTCCAAAAATTGCCTTATGCAAAAGTATGGGTTGCCATATTTGGAATTTATTTCTTTGTAGCAGCCACATTTTCCTCTCCAAAATTTCCCAACATCACAAACGAAAATTCAAAAAAAGCATGTAAGGGAACGAAACCATGATCCCTAAAAATTCATAGAAGTGACATATAAGATCTTAATGCACCACCAAATAATTTTATTTTCTAATATTTTGTGTGATTTTGTGGATCCCACTTTCACTCAATATTTTGAATGATTTTACATCACAATTGCACCCTGGAGTGTGTTTGAAAATTGAAATCCTAATCGAATCACCACAAATTGATTTTTACCACTATGTCTTGAGGTCCATAATGGGAGCTAAATTTGTAGGTTTACTTGGGTACCTATGATTTCTAGTTAGACATTTAAATTTGCACGAGGAAATCCAAACGAAGAATGGGATTCGACTTTTGAATCTTAATTTTCTTAAGAAAGAATAATAATGTTAAATGAATATATTGTTAAAAAATGAAAGAAAAAATGTATGCAATTCGTATTTTTGACCGTCAATTGAATGAGTGGGTTAATTAATTATTTTTAATATACATAAATATATCTTATCAGATAATTAAAATTTAACTCAATTGATTCATATAACAATTTAAAAAATGACATACAACAAATTTAAAATTTAAATTTCAATACTTATATCCTCTTCTCTTATCTTAAAATTACGACTTTTTTATTTAAAAAAAAAAACCTCTGGTGGAGCCTAAAAAACTCCACTTTCAGTATATATGTAGATTCCCTTATTAAATTAACTTTTGTCATGTTTAACAAATGTACATGACATTCCATGTTTTTTCCTCACTAATTTTAAATGGTTAGGAGGGTAATTAGTTTATGAAATTATTTTTAGAAAGTGATCAAAGTGATTCCTAATTCCTAAAAATTAAAATAATCATATTCAAGCAAATGGTCATACTTGTAATTAATCAATATATTAAATACTAATACACTTTCAAAATAATGATTTCCTATAAAGTAAAATATTGCTAATCACAAAAACTAAAGTTTTTTTAAACTTATAATTCTTCAAGAAATTTTCATTTATAGTCAAACACTTTTTTTTTGTTTTTACTTCCAAAAACAAAAATAAATAGCAAAGAGCATAATTGAATTAAATCTAGAAAAGCACGAATATGCTTTCTATGAAATCATGCTTGTATCAAACTTTAAATCTTGAAAAATCATCGATTTTGGTATGATGAATAATGTCATTTTCCTTGAGCAAAATGCATTTGTTGCTAAGGTATATCAACGCTTTTTTTCAGAACATGGGTGGTCAATATTATTCTTGTTATAGTCTACATGTGAGTTGCATAAGCCTTAAGTAAATGGCCAGAGATGATATGTTACCAAATTATGTTACCAGTTATATTCTTTCTCCTTCAATGGTAAACCTAACATCTCCTTTATTTCTTTCTGTGTGGGAAAAGAGTAAATCTCCATGTGCTTATGTGGTTCGTTTCACAATCTGTCCGTTATCGCCTTTTACACTATAGTTTTGATATATTTTGGGTTTTCTTTTGATCAATGTTTCTTTGAGTATTGAAAATTTTAACCAAAGCAAACCAGCTAGCCTTAATCCTCCTCTTAGATCGTCTAAAAACCCCCCATACTGTTTTTGAAATAATTTTTCAGCTTATTGAGTCAAAAGTGAATAAGCAAGAAAACATGATATAGCACAAACTCATACGTCTTAAACTCAATTCCTTATCTCAAAAGCTTACATTCAAATGGCAGATATGATGCATGAATCTGGTCAAATGAATTTTAAATTGTTTAAAGATTTCTTTTATTTCAAAAAAAAAAAAAGAAAAGAATTTGTGGTGTAACTAATGGAGTAATTGCTAGTAATACATATTCTATACTTCACTAGTTACGTATATGTATAATTTATGCATTAGATTTTATTTGTCTTGATTCAAAAATTTTTTTTGAAGCGAATTAGATTTATCTCCATCTATATAAATTAATCACAAATGGGATATCATCTTGTGAAATTAACATAAGGTTTTATTAAGGTTGTGTTATTTGGAAATTTTTGTCAATTTTCCATATTCTTGGTATATAGGTATAAGCCTTACTTTTCATGAAAGTTCCCTTTGCTTTAGAACCGAATGATATCTTTGACAAAAGCCCTTCCCTACTTGTTAAGTATTTTAACACATTGTCTTTCTAAATTTGGATAAAAATTTTTGTTCAATGTTTTTGGCCTAGCCTTTTTTAATATTCCCTTCTATCATCCTTTTACATGAGGGGCTTTGGTGCCAAACAAGTTCATATCGACACCATCACCGAGCATCGCGCCACAAGAAAGGCCTAATTTCCTCCTCATTCCAACAGATTTTGGCAATGTCACAATTGCATGACCCTATCACATGTGATGGATTCTTCAAACTGTTAGTTGGCATAGAAATTATAGTTATGAATCCATAAGCTACAAAAATAATTTTAATTATATATATGATCATAGGTTTGGT